AAAGCCCCCCCCCCCCTCTAGGAAGGTTCCCCCCTATATATTGTTGTGGAGTCCTTGCTACGTTCTTGGGTCAATGCACTTTCATATCGTCCCCTGACTATTGTTCTTTGACTTGGCGGGTGCTATGAGTATGGGGCTTGGAACAAATCATGTCGTCTTCCACTGCCTTGTTGCTTGGACGAGATCTTGGTTGGGCTGACCGCAGCGGTCAGATTTTGACCAATACAGTAACTGTTTCGGTTTTGTTAATAGCATGAGGCTATTAAGTTAATTATGTACTTCCGCGTTTATTTCAGATGAGTTAGTTTTGTTAATTGTAAAATATAAAATGTAAAGGAAAAAGGCAAATAGAACTTTAACGTGGTTTGCCTAGCGAGTGTGATGTTAGGCGCCATCACAATCCCGACGGAGGGAAATTCGGATCGTGACAAAATCCCACTAGTGGTCGCAACATATCACGCAAAACATTTGCAAGGACATTGCTAAATGCATGCAAGAAGTGATTGTTACTACTAGACTATAATTCCTTTAGTAATGGTCAAATATACAAATACAGGCAACAGGGTAAACGATGCAAGTTGTATAATGTTACAGAGTAGTTTATACAAGTAGAGAGTTTCAGCAGGAGAGAGGGGAGATTGGATCTTCAACATGTGTGAACTACATTTCATATACATATAGGGATACCAAAGAGTATGACCAGACAATTAAGAACTACGGGACTACACGGGTGTTCCTCATTTCATCAACATGGCCTTGCGTATCTTTTACATTGCATAGACAATTTCTCCGCTGCTATCAATGTCAAGGTCAGCATCGCTCTCCAAGTCTTCGTCCATGTCATCATCAATGTCCAAGCATCCCGTAAGATACTGATTCAGGCTGTTGGTTCCAGCTGCAGGAATCGTGGCCTCGGCTATTATCTGCATGATTTCATCAATACTCTGCATAGGTTGATCTGGCTCTTCAAACTGATTGTTTGTATTGTTATCCATGAGATCTGCAGGGAGGTTCTTCAAGAACCACTCATGGTTCTTGATCTCAGGCATCGTTATCCTCTGTTGCAATGCAAACATATATAGCATGACCAAATTAAACTCTGAATATAGCTCAAACTGTTCAATCACAAACAAAGCTAAATAAGACAATTCATCAATGCTACTTCCCGCACCAGGCAATGCTCAACAAAGTGAACAAAGAAGCCCCGTCAAGAATCATGATAAAGGGGTGCGGAAGAAAGGAAAAACGATTTAGCAAAAGAAAAGGAAGATCCACTGGCAAAGACATGGGCACCTTCAGGTAAAAGATTCCCCGGACCAGGATAGGATAAAAGTTCAAGCATAAACGCATTGAACTGTTGCTACACCCGAAGAGTAGTTAACTGGAAAATCTTAAAGTATACTTGTGACAATGACAGTGAAGGATGAAAATTTGAATACAGGAAAACTATTATTTCCACAACGTTAATATACCTTTGCAGGATCAGCCACAAATATTCTTGAGATCAGATGACGACATTCAGCAGATATGTGGACATAATCTGGAATTGAATATTGTACATTCAAGATTCGCTTCAACAAAGAAAAGAGCTCGGAGTCAAGTAACAAAAACGATGAATATTTTGCAGCAACAATAGAGCAAAGGAATTTACTTGTATTGTCTTGCGAAAATTCTTAGGCTCCTCTGGGTCTTCAAAAGGGTAAGCTCCCACAAGCATGACATACAAAGTCACGCCGCAAGACCATACATCTGCAATCTGCCGAAACGTTGTGATAATGATGAAAAACTCTTAAATGATGAATAAGCCAAATGAAACAACAAATGGCTAAGCTTGTCTGGTACAGCAAAAAGTTCGAACACAAGTGATTCCTATGGCCATTAACTATGTTAAGTCAATTTTGAAATTTGAACTGTTGGGTTTGCACTTTTTAGGGGTCTTATAAATTGGTAATATAATTATATGGTCTCTTCCACATTGACAGAATTACTTATTCTTAATATTTCACCACCACCAACAACAACCAACAACAACCCAGTGGAATCTCACAAGTAGAGTGTGGAGAGGGTATATGTACGCAGACCTTACCCTTATCTGGGAGGTAGAGATGCTATTTCCAAAATACCCTCTCAAGAGGAAGAATAGAAACAAGTAAATATTATTTTTAATACTTCACCGAGTTAAAAAAGAAAAAAAAACAGCATTTACTGGGTAACAAACTAGTATGTCATGCATTGAGTACATCTAGAAACTAATAGGACCAAATCTATTGTTCTATGTGAAAGTAGACATAACAAAAGAAAGAAAAATCAAAAAGAGATGAAAATATGATGTAAGCGCTTACATCAACATTCTTGTGATGTAAGCGCTTACCTCGACATTCTTATGATGTAAGCGCTTACATCGGCATTATTATGATGTAAGTGCTTACCTCGGTAGGGCATTTAAATGCCTATAAATAGGGGTCTACATTTTCATTTGTAGATCATCCCAAAACTTCTTCTTTCTCTCTTCAATTAATAAAGATATTCTTTGTGTGGCCGTGGAGTAGACAAAAATTGCCGAACCACGTAAATCTTGTCTTGTCTTGTCTTGTGCAATTTATTGCTTTTCTCTCTTAAATATTCTTTTCCTTCTATTAGCTTGACACGCTTCCTAACAACTGGAATCAGAGCACATACAGTGTATTTCTGGTAGAAAAGTACAGTATTGGTGCATGTACTATTCACAAGAATAGTGCGACACTATTGATCATCGTTACTATTCACAAACACTATTCACATAAATTGTTTTTGTGAAAAAATGGCATCGGAAGAAGGGAAGGTTAAGATTGACAAGTTCAATGGCAAAGATTTTGGATTCTGGAAAATGCAAATAGAGGATTATTTGTACCAAAAAAAATTACACTTACCTCTAACCAAGGTGAAACCAGAGACTATGGCCAAAGCGGATTGTGATTTATTAGATCGCCAAGCTCTTGGTGTGATTCGTTTGACGCTAACACAAAATGTGGCGTTTAACAGCATTAACGAGAAGACCCCTGCAGGCCTGATGAAGACGTTATCAAATATGTACGAGAAGCCACCTGCTTCAAATAAAGTCTATTTGATGCGTCGATTGTTCAAGTTAAAGATGACAGAAGGTGGATCAGTCACGGAACATATCAATGAGTTTAATATAATATTAACTCAGTTGGGTTCTGTTAATATAACAATTGATGACAAAATCAGGGCGTTGATTCTACTATCATCTCTACTGGAGAGTTGGTCTGCAACAGTAACTACAATTAGCAGTTCATCAGGAAGTACCAAAGTCAAATTGAATGATATTAGAGACTTGGTTCTAAGCGAAGATATTCGCCGAAGAGAATCAAGTGATTCCTCAGGATCTGCTTTTAGTACCGAAAGCAGGGGGAGAATCAACCAAAGAGGACAGAGTTATGGTCGTGGCAGATCAAAGTCAAGGAGAAGAGGACAATCCAAAAATCGCAAGGACATTACTTGTTGGAATTGCGATAAAAAGGGTCACTACAGTAGCCAGTGTAGAGAACCAAAGAAGAAGAAGGAAGAAAATTTAGCAAATGTAATTGCTGAACAAGTCAGTGATGCACTAATTTGTTGTGCAGACAGTCCAGTCAAATCTTGAATTCTGGACTCAGGTGCATCCTTTCACTCTACATCATGCAAAGAATTATTGCATAATTATATTGCTGGAAAATTTGGGAAAGTTTATCTAGCAGACGACGAACCTCTCGACATTGCCGGAAAAGGTGAAGTTCATATAAAAACTTCACAAGACACACTATGGAAATTTCAAAATGTACGACATGTTCCTGGCCTCAAGAAAAATCTGATATCTATGGGTCAGATTGATGGTGAAGGATATACAACAATATTCGGCAACGGATCGTGGAAGATAACCAAAGGAAATTTGGTTTTGGCACGAGGCTTCAAAAGGGGAACACTGTATGCAACTGCAATA